AAAATCACCTACTCAATATGATTCGCTGTCGGTTTTGGATAGTGAAAGGGAGAGCTACGGTGAAGCGCATCGTGGGCAACTGTCTTTTTGTCGTCTTTTCGTAGTTTTGTACGTCAGTAGGAAACCGAGGCAGAAGTAACGGAGCCAGCCTGAATTGTATGTGCAGTGGGACAGCACTTGTCATAGTAGTTTATGTGTATCTTTTTAAAAGGGAAAAGTGAGCTGTGGCGCACGGTTGGTGGGTTATCGGAGGGGAAAATGATAGGTTGAATCCTGAAATAGATTGCTCAAGAGGCGCAAAAAGGGTATCGGAAGAGTTGTGGGTGTTGAGCATGCCCCAAACTCGGTGGTGCAAAATGTGTTGTGTCCAAGAGATAGAGGGAGAAAGGTTATGGCTCGGATATCTCATGGGATAACTAGGGGCGGCTGAGTCCTTTGTGTGAGAAAAAGGTAATGGGAGTCGGGTCTGGTGCAAAGTTTTGGTGGTAGGGTAAGCCATATACATTTGCAGCCAGTTTAGGATAGTGGGGTGACGGATAAAGTGGACGACTTCGTTGAAGAGGGGGAATTGTGCTGGTTTGGCCCAGGTGAGTACGCCAGGGGAAGGGTTCCATCCGTAGGCAGTAACCGTAAGCAGGTTTGTGAAAGGCTGGGTAACGTAGTTTATTGCAGGTGAATGGGGAAGTCTGCGTTCTATTGTTTGATCAGGGTTGAGTTCAACGCCTCGACAGGGCAATAAGATTTCATGGCGTCTATTATGCCGTGGGAACCAATTTGTGCCTAGGGACTTTTGGGGGACGGGAATAGGGATTTGACATGATTGAGTAGTCACGTTTGATGACTTTTTCATTTGGGATTGAACATTGTCTTTCCGTAGAGAGGGCGATGTCACTGGGTGAGTCGTGCAGACAGTTGTTTCGGGGCTCAAGCGTGAAATTTTTGAGCGCTTGAGTGGTGGAGGTTAAGGTGAAATCAAAAAAGATGCATCAAGGTCTACATTTGGGGTCAGAGACCCACGGGGTTAGGGGTACCGGCAGGCTAACTCTGGGTGAGTTATTATTGGATAATGCAGGGAGCCTGTGCAGCTGTTGATTTACTATGGTTAATTTATGAATAGCCCTTTGAAGGGAGGTACTATCAGGATAGACTTTTAGGTTTTTAAATGGAGTATTTTTTGCTACATCGTTTCGTCTAGATATACACCTCTTTGGCCAACATGTCATTCGACAATTAGAAAAGAAGTGGGAACCAGTACCGTTAGGCTGTTCTCCGGAGTCCAATACAGTCGCATGGGTACCCTCCTATGTTTGAGGCCTCCAGAATAGTGCCCTTAACTTGAGCTAAAGTAATTTTGTCTGGCACTTTGAAAGTAACTCCGTGTTTTGAGTTAGAGATGCGCTTAAATACTCCAGATGCAATAGAACCAAGCATCAGCCCTGCTTAAACGAGATTATTCATAGGTTGGGTGAGGGATCGATGAGGGAAATCAGTGAAGCTCGAGTTGAGGTGACTAATTCTAGTGATTTCAGCTGACACTTAAGGTTTGTGACGGTAAAAACAATCTTGGAGGTTATTTTGAGTGCATCACTATACAAGTCCACTAAGAGGTCAGAGCAATTGTTAACCCAGTCCGTTCACATACAGCAAGGCGAGTACTACTAGGTAAGTTAATTTCCACGGTGTACTCTACATAGTGGTACACAGTTAGATAATACAGCACGTTTATCGAACACAAACTACGCAACATAAGCATATTACATCCCAAACTTTTTGTTAGTGCGGAACATACGCATGTGAAACTAGTTCATTTATACAAACTGCGAGCTTACGTAACCGCTACTGGAATACACAACTTAATGGTTTTCAGTATTTAATTTATCATTCCAGTAATTTATTCGGTTCATTTTTCGTATCACATTAAAATTAAATACAGTACAGTCCCGACGGGTTTCAAATGGGATTCCAATGGAATGGGCCTGATTGGCGGATCCCAGCGGAACTAGAACATTACTCAAATAGGACGGTCAATCGTCCCACTGTGCGGAGAGGGTGAGCGGAATCTTGGATTGACCGGTTCTGGCTGTTCGTCTACTATCCCGAGCTCTTGGGCGCTCTGCGGTGTGTCGCGACATGGTATTAGGATAGAACACGGAGGGCGCTTCCAAGGCTTTTCTATAAGATCGGTATACCAATCGCTATAGCAATAACTTATGGTGTAACGCAATCCGCGTGTCAAAGATAGCCCACTAAGTGCAGGTCACGGTAACAATCGCGATTGTAAAGTCATTTATGAGTATCTAGGATACTACATCACTGACTACAATAGGGGACGAGTACCTAATTTTTTTAAACGGTCTACAGTGATATTGTAAGAACAATACAATAGACGTGAATAATAATAATAATAATAACGGTATATTTCACGAAGCCCGTGAGGCATGCTAGTGCGCATGATCAAATGTACAACAATGTAAAAAAAATGACGGTCCAAACAAAGATTAAATGTACAAAGATGGTAAGAACGTAATTTTCAAACGGGTACAAAAGACATCGTAACCATGTATTGGGGTGAAA